TAACACATTTCCAAAAAGATGACCAATTCTTTATTTTAGCCTCTTTCTAGCCGGTAATTTGAGGAATAAATGCAGATTTGCGGATTAAAATGCCTATGCATTTTAAACATATGGCAACACCGCGGATAGATCAATATAAAATCAATTGTATTTACTAACTGTATCACTAAAGTTATAATTTCATTCTTCTTTTTATATTTTATTTAATTTTAGTTAAATATGACTGGTAAATAAGAAGTAAAACACAATTGTGAAATGTTCAATTTGCGTATTGCGTATTGAATTGAGACTTTTTGATTGTAGGAACACACTTTTGGAATCAACGCCTTGACTGGTATTTGTTGAAACGTAGAAATTAGTAAATATTTTATTTAATATAAATTACATTTTGTTGATAACAATAATAATCGTAAATTACATATAATAATTACCAATCTTAAATTAATGGTGATAACAAATAAGGCTGGTAATGGAGCAATGCAGTTTGTTAATTATAGTGACTTCAAATTTTGCAATTCCGGAACCATTGAATATTAAAGGGAATCTTACTATGACCCTGACCACTTACTACCACATCCGCCATTACACTCACCATGTCCCTACAACTTATTTTTTTTTTTAATTTCTTCACTTTTCTTTTATACTTTTCTTCTCTTCTTCTTTCTTTGTATGTACCTCCTTTTCTCTCGCCCACAACTCTCATGTATTAATTTCCCGTAGTATTCATCTCATTTGTTATCACCAATGGTTTCCTTCTATGAGTGACTCAAGCAAACAAATTACTTTCACATGAGTATATTTTTTCGAGCGGAATAATGCCTGGAAACTTAACTATTACTCCACTATACTTAATCGTGGTCGGAGCGATATTAAACTTCAGAATGCTACCGCAAGTTCGTCTTAGGAGCAAATTCTACTTTGGCGAAAGGTTTCCTCGCTCGCTCCTGCCCGATCACTCACTGCCCATTCTCTCGCAAACGCCCCCTCATTTCCAGAGCAGTTACGCCGAGCGGTGCCCTCTGCTGAGCCGCTCCCACTCTGCACCCTTCCCACCAATCTGTCACTCTCCCAACGGCTCATTCTATTTCAAACCAATGTTTTTGAATTTCAAACCAAAGACCTCGAGATTACTCATCTCACGTCCTTTCATTACTTCTATGATTAATACTAACTCAACATTTGCGATTACATCACACGTAAAGAAGAGTAGAAAAATTACAACACAAATGTACTACTCTAAATAGTATGGAAAATCGAAAATCCGCAATTGTTTCATGTCGTTCTGAAATTATTCTCCAAGATAAATGGAATAAGGAAGATCTACACATTCTGGAAAATGCAATCCCTATTCACAGGAAAAAAGTGTTTCTGAAATTCAAAATAGATATAAAAATGTTTCTGAAAAAGTAATTGAAATGCATTATATCTGCAAGATCTGTGCATGTATGTTAGCAGTTGACCATAGCAGGAAATCCTGCTCACCACTTCTGCCCCAAAACGTAATGCACCACAAATAATTATAATCACTGATCACTTTTAAGAAAAGGACACATATCAGTCATGATGGATGTTCTTTTATATAGTCACTAATATTTGCATTTGAAAACACTAATATTTGAACTAACATTCGCTATCTTTGCTTCTCAAACTATAACACACGCTTGCTCGCACTACAAAACGGACTGCTGATCGACTGCAACTCGCATAAGGAAACAATTGACATAATGAACAAACGGCGGCAGATAAGCGTGCTTTCCATTAATTTTAAGTTATGACGTTTTTGTGTTTATGCTAATGCTATGCTAAAACGGTTAATATCAGCAAGCGGTAACACATCTCGGACTCAATTTCATTTAAAGCAAAAATAACGCAATTTGATTGAGTTGAAAGTTCAGGTTTTGTTTTTAAACGAAAACCCTTAATCTGTTTAAAGTATATACATTATTATCAACATTATAATTAATCACCATCATATACATTATTGTCTGTTCCTTCTGGAACGCCTTTTTCCTTTAAAAGATTTCTCCCCGCTCCCCGCAGTGAGCGAGACCAGCGTGTCCTCTCTGTTGTCTACCATTGTACTCTCCATGTTCCTCCTTCTTTCATCGAAAGTTGTCCGCGAGCCCTTACATTCGGTGAAATCATAAAAGTTAATGCTTCAGCGTGATAAATTAAATGTTTTCAATTGGCACAAGCAAATAATACATTAAATGACATACATGAATAAATCCAAATTCGGGACACAATTAGCTGGTACAATATTCTGAGAAAATTAAAGGAGTGAAGACATGACCATCTAACTGAAACAACATCACGGCTAACATTCACGTCACTGTGTGGTTGAATACAGCACAGTACAGAGTCTATTTTCCAAAATGGTGCTATTCTCTCATTAATAAGTCTCTTTTTTAGGCTTACGGAAAACCTATGTTCATTCGAGAAGCGAGAGAGGAAAAAGGAAGAGGGAGCGAGAAGTAGAAGAATATTAAGAAAACATTGGAAAAAGTATAAAATGGAAAATAAGCTGACGAGAAGAAAAATATAAGATATCCAAAAAAGTGACAAAATGAAGGGGGAAATAAAAAATGAAAAGGTGAAATAAGGAAGACAAAATAGAGCAAGGTTAATTGACGTAAGCAGGAGAAAGAGAGAAAGCGAATGATATAAGGAGAGTAATGACAGAACTGGGGGGGGGGATAAAGAGAAAGAGAGAAAATGGGCCTGAGTGAATGAAAAGGTAAGGAGGCGATATGTACACTGTATACTTTCAAACCTGAAGACAAGAGAATGGGAAATGTGAAAATAGTAATTTACCTTCGTTTAATAATAACAATAATTATTAACTAGATATAGACCCCTTCTAAAATGATATGCATTGAGCCATTGAAACTCAAGGGGAGGGCGATGTACTCGTATTTAATTTGCTAAAAGGGTATTACTGAAGCGGTGCACTCACTCACTCACATATATACTTACTGAATTGGAAACGAACCGAATGGGTTATTTATTATTATTATTATTATTATTATTATTATTATTATTATTATTATTACAGCAATGAATTAACATTTGTAAGCAGATGAGATGGTCGTAAAGAACACGAAACATGGTGATTGAAAGTAATCAATAAATGGAACATCACTTCAAGTTATTAGACCAACCCTCCAACATTGTTTCAGTTGCAATTAGCATATATGTTTGTTGTTGTGTTGTTGTTGTTGCATTCCAAAGAGAAATGGAGGCAGAAAGGCGCACGGCTGCGCTCGGAGGCCTCGCGGCGCGACTGGGGCGCGCTCGCGGCCGCCAATTGCGTGGCCCGAGGTGCGCCGGGAGTGGGCGCGTAATGGGCGCGGGGCGGGGCGGGGCGGCGCGAGGCGGTTGCCGCCTCGTTAGGCCCGCGGGTCAGTGCGGCCTCCGTCCTCCTCTCCTCCTCCTCCTCCTCCTCCCTCTCCTCCTCCATCCCCAGGCCGCAGCCCCGCCCGCGCCCTGCCCGCCCGCCCGCCCGCTCGCCCGCACCGCACCGCCCGCATGCTCCGCCCGGCCCCGCGGTCCGGCCGCGCCAGCCTGCCGCCGCTCGCCGCTACGCCTTGTCCGCTACACCTGCTCCGCCCGCCCCGCCGGCCCGTCGCACCGCCGCCCCCCCGGCCAGCCCAGCCCCGTCGCTTCGCCTAGCCGCCCGCGCCCCGCTTTCCGCCCGACGTTCTTCCGCCCGCCCGCCCGCCCGCCCTCGCCCCGTCCTGGCCCGCCCGCCGCCCCGCCGTCCTCCCCGCCGCCTGCCGCGCGGCCCCATCGGCCGCGACAATTGAACGCCGCGGCCCGCCCGGCCGCTCACGTGAGCGCCCCGGGAGCGGCCGCCGGCGGCGACGGCGCGGGCCAGCGGGCATCGGGGCATCTGGCGGCCCAGTGATTAACGCGGATCGGAGACGGGCGTTACGTTGACACAAGATGCGTGATGACTTCTTCGATTAGTCGGATCACCCTCGCTGACAACACAAGATTTGGGCCCTGCCCTGAAACCTTTAATGCAACCAAATATTTTCAGAAGGCGAGACACCCATGAATTTTGATTAGAATTTTTTCTAGCGGTGAAATAGAATCGGTTTCTTTGTATATTGCCTACCGAAATCAGATGTTTTTAATTTCATATTTCTCTTTCCTAAACGGAGCAAAATCATTGTAATAAAAATTATCAAAATCATGAAACGAGTATTATAGCATAATCTACACACATTAGTGTGGGCATTTTCAACTCCAAGATATTTAAAAATAAATGGTGAATGCCTCATAGATATGGCCGTAGGAGTGCGAAAAGTCGACGTGTTTCGTATTGGAATTTCGTTCCCCCACTCGATTTACACGCTTCCTTTCGACGAACTATTACAACGTTTTAGCGAAAGCGGGCATAGGGAGGGTCGCTCCTGAGCGACAGCCCTCATGTGCCCCTTTACTGAAACACTAAATTCGTTCCTCAAAAGGAAGCATGAAAATCGGGTCTTACGAAACGAACGAAAAACTACGTACGGTACTTACTTCACAGTTACAAGTATTCTTGAAATCGTTATTTCGTTCGTCTTCTCAAGTCTATTTTACTTTATCGGTCAAAGAAATGAGAAAACTTGAAAATGAAATATCAAAGTCAAGTTTCTTGAACCTTTGGTTTAAAAACTGACAATATTTGTTAACATGACAATTGAAGTGAGGTTCGTACTTTTGGGGAAGAAATCCATCCTTAACGATACAAAATAATGTATCGAGAGTATTTCTGAGGATTCTAACTTTAAGAGCACTAAGCCAAATTTAAATAATGTATTTTGGTTGTGTTTAAAATATTCATAACAGCATATTTACATATGTTGTTTCGTACTGCTATTATCACCTCCTTTTCCTTTTACAACAGTAAATTAGGGGTACTTCGGTAATTTCCTATACATTCGGAACAGTCAAGAAATCTTAATTTTATTTCAATTTAATTATCATACTTAATGAATTGTCCAACAAATGAGTGTATTAACTATTACATATTCATATAATGCAACACGTGCCTTATTCTGTTTGATAATGACATCTCTTACAACTGTTATTAATGTCGTCACCTTCCGCACTAATTGGGTTTGTGAGCCCTAATGCTGGCAATTATCTTCATGGACAGACGGGTTTCAACGGTATGATTGGTAAGTTTCACAATTTATTCCTTTTTTTAAAATGTTCATTAAGTTTAGAATGTGTTGGTCATTCGTGCAAAATAATATATACTAACTCATTACATCAGACTGAGTGACTCGTGGCTAAAGTTCTCGTTTCCCATGTGGACGTGGCCTGGTTCAATTCCTAGTGGGGACAAAAGAAATAGAAGTTTGTAAATTCCACCAAAACGTAGGAAAATGGAACAACGATAGCTGATGAATTGAAAACATAACATAGATGTTGCTTTGTAATGACATTCGTGCTGTGAAAGGGTTACTAGTAGGGTTAGTAGTGACTGAGTGAGCAAAGTCAATTTCTAGCTGAGTGAGGAATGTATTAGCAATCTAGCTCTTCATTTTGCCTCATTAGGGCTCTCTGGCGGTGCAATGGGGGATATGACCACTCTTTGAGCTGATAACTGTACAGACAAAAATATAATAAGAGAATATAGGCTTCGCTGAGGACCTTTTCACGTAAGAAAATATTTTTTTTAGTTTTGGGATCATTTTTACTACCTTCTTTGGATCACATTTACGTTGAAGAGAAAGTTATGTAATGATTTTTTAAAAAATCGAGATTTTATCGACAATATAACACTGGTACTTCCTAATATCGAAAAAAACAAAATTCTTAATAATTTCGTCAGTTAATTTTTACCATGCAAAACAGCTCTGCGCTTGTCATTTTTTTTATATAAACTCATTTAACAATTTTTCCAAATCAATTTTGTCGGTCATGTCGTCATAAACATGTAAAATCGCAATACTGTACAGCAGATATTGCAACATAGTTGATCACATTTACGTTTTGAGTTGGCGCAATACCGAGAAACGTCGTTCATTTCAGGAAATTGCCGTTTATGGAATATTTCTCTCGCTCCAAATCCATTGTGGGTATTTCACCCACTCAGGATTTTAGCTACTCGGGTATAGACACCCACCACACCCACATCATGCGCCAGGCCTACCAATAACAGGAGAAAGTATATGCTGTTGTGGTAGCACTAGTTTAAGGACAGCCTCCGCTCTGGCGCCCCGTAAATCGCATTTACGTTTTCAGTTGGCGCAATACCGAGAAACGTCGTTCATTTCAGGAAATTGCCGTTTACGGAATATTTCTCTCGTCCCAAATCCATTGTGGGTATCAGGATTTTAGCTACTCGGGTATAGACCCCAACCACACCCACATTATCCGCCGGGCCTACCAATAACAGGAGAAAGTGTGTGCTGTTGTAGGGCCACTAGTTTAAGCACAGCCTCCGCTCTGTTGCAGGAGTTGGCCCTGGCGCTTCTCGTGCTGGGGTCTGCGTTCGCCGCCTCAGCCTCCGCCGCCAGCTTCTTCGGCGCCAGCGCCTTCAACGGCAGCGCGCAGGTGATGAGCTCTCGCACCACTTCGACGGCGGGACGGTGTCCGTTTGCGTTCGGACGGTCGCTTAAAACGGGTTTCTTAATGTCTGTCATTACAAATGGGAAAATTTTAAATTCCTTTGTAATTTACTTAATCATTTCATTCCTGGCAATAATGAAGTCCTCTAGAAAACTTGTATCTTGATAGTAATGAAAAAAGTATTTATACGTTGACTTCATCATCTTTATTATATTATTATATTATTATTATATTATTATATTATTATATTATTATATTATTATATTATTATATTATTATATTATTACATTATATTATTATTATTCCTATAATTCATCACTAAAAATGTAATCAGTCGCCTGAATATAAAATCTAATCCGCAATACAACCAAGGGAGGAGTAAATCCTCAGTAAAAAGTAAAAAATACAATAGATCTAGGGATTGTCTGTGCTGCTACAACACTTGGCGCAAAATGTGAGTTGTTTCCAGTAAAGCAATGTCTTGCACTTCCCAGTCTTTTGAACGATTTGGGAGTTTAGCCTAGTTCTTAAACAAATTTTGCGGAACAAATCCCAGAGCTCTGATAACTATCGAGACGACCTGTGCTTTTACGCCCCTCATTCGGCTGATCTCGATTTCAAACTCTTGTATTTAAGATGTTTCTCTGCCTCTTTAGTTACGACGTTTCGATTGCAAGACTTAGCAACATCTACAAGTAGACACGTTTTTTCTCCAAATCCCGAATAACAATACCCAGTTTCGTTGCCGCTATCGTGCGATCAGTTTGAATTTGTTGGACGTACAATATTGTACGCACTTCAACAGACGTCACTGGTTTTGGTGAGTATTTGTACCATTCACACCATGTGGAATATCGAGGGGATTACAGATATGCCAGTGGAGATAACTATACATTCTATCATATCTTTTCAAGTAATTGGTCTTTGCTTGAATTGGCTGAGACGATATGATCAATGGTTCCTACTTGTTCCTGGCAAATGCAGCTTTTATCATCACGGAAAATTTGGAGAACCGTTTTATCATAATGTCGGTTTCTCAACGCCTGATCTTGGGGAGTTATTACAACTGCGTCTGATATCTATTATTATTATTATTATTATTATTATTATTATTATTATTATTATTATTATTATTATTATCATTATTATTATTATTACGGGTGAATTTTACTGATATATCATTTTTTTACTTTAGAACAATGTCGTTTAGTATAGAAATTCTTTTTATGTTCTGACAAAATGAAATATTCCATTTTTATAAATAATTTTTTTGCATTTTTTGTCGATTTCGTCTAAGAAGTCATTTTTTATCTTTTACTCATTAATCGCTAATTTCATCGATTTTAATACCATTTTACGGTATTAGCTTCAAATAGTATTTACGAGGTGCAACAAATGTTCACCACAGTATTCCTGAGTAACCTATTCGATTTCTTCGCCCATGCATTGTAACGTCAGCCGTTGAGAGTACTACGCATACCAAGGTTCCTGTGACGTGTCGGCGCCATTGTCAGTTTGGCCGATTTCGCGATAAATAAATGCAGATATTTTCTTTTAAAGAACGGTCCAAATTCAAAGTTTGCAAGCTGAGTTCACTTGAACAGAAGGAAGAAGCCTCGATTACATCAGTATCATATCCAACAACTTATGTTGCTCATCTGAAGTGGTTTTGATCAAATTTTTTCCGTCATTTTTCTTTGTTTTCATGACATTTTAAAGCATTTTATTCATCATTTTAGCAATGTTTTAATCCATCAAAATCCACTCATTATTATTATTATTATTATTATTATTAATATTATTAAATTATGGAAGAAAACCTTCCTTCCTATCATTTCCCAGCTAAAGTAAATGTCAAAGAACAACCGTTGATAATTCGGGGTATGACGCTAGAATGAACTATTGTCTCTTCCCAAAAAAGTGTGTCGTTGTCTCGGGATTTGTAACGCGCGCTCTCCTAGAACGGCAACGTCCGTCTGCGCAGGTGCGCGCACGTCGCAGCATCTCCGAGTTCCCCAGCCGCATGCACGCGCGCCCGCCGCTGGACGGCGACGAGGTGCTGCTGGAGCCCGTCAACATCGACACCTCCTCGGTGAGTGCCCTCCTGCACCCGGCGCGGCGCGGCGCGGCGGATCGCCCACGCGGGGTCGCCAGCGCAAGGGACCACACACTATGGGATCGAAAGTATCCGGTCACGTGGCTGCAAATGACTTTCCAGTTCGTGGCGCCCTCCGTCGGTAATGCTGGAATTCAATAGGGTGTTGGCCCACTCTTGTAGGCTTCATGAGAGAATTCACTCTCGCAGGCATACTTTCAATCAAGTGCTGGAAGGTTTCTTGCCCATTCTTCACGGAGGGCTGCATTGAGGAGAGGTACTGATGTAGGTCGGTGAGACCTGGCACGAAGTCGGCGTTCCAAAACATCCCATAGGTGTTCGATAGGATTCAAGTCAGGACTCTGTACAGGCCAGTCCTTTACAGGGAGGTTATTATCGAGGTTACACTCCGCCACAGGTCGTGCAGTAGGAGCAGGTGCTCGATCGTGTTGAAAGATGCAATCCCCATCCCCGAATTGCTCTTCAACAGTGGGAAGCAAGAAGGTGTTTGAAACAGCAACGTGATACTGACACGCAAAACAATAAGGTGTGCTAGCCCCCTTCACATACACAAGCAATTCCGTATCAGTAAAAACCTTTATTTTTTGTTTTTAATAAATAGATATGTAGTATTCCGGCATTATAAATGACTCTTTTAGTTACAAGAAATCATTCATAAAATAACTTATCAGGACACAGATTATGGTGTTTTTGCCGTTTACGGCAGGAGATTGCTTCTTCACACAGTCGGCTCCGGATCTTCTCATCGGAAAGGGTAAGATCATCTCCATCTCTCGAGGGAAACAAGCATTGCACTTACGGGAATATTTACCTTAGACGTTTACTAATCAATCAATCAACACCTATGTATGCTGTATGTTTTAGAGATTAACGTACGGGGGTGTTGATAGTGCAAACAATTCTTTTAGACGGGGGTCGATGAAAGAAAGAAAAAAAGTTTGGGAGTGCCTGGTGTAGGTGGACCACTAGCAGCGCGCGTGGAGACATCCGGGAAACGCAAGCACTACGCTTACGGGAATAGTTACCTTATAAATTGGCTAATCAATCAATTAATATCTATGTATGCTGTATATTATAGAGGTTAATGTACGGGGGGGTCGATAGAGCAAACAATTCTTTTAGAAGGGGGTCGATGAAAGAAAGGGAAAAAGAGGTTGGGAGTGCCTGGAGTAGGTGGAACACTAACGAACACATTGTCTAATCAATCAATCAACAATCATGTATGTTCTGCATTGTAGAGATTAATGTACGGGGGTGTCGATAGAGGAAACAATTCTTCTAGAAGGGGGTCGATGAAAGAAAGGGGGGAAAAAAGGTTGGGAGTGCCTGGTGTAGCAGACCCCCGTGCGAGCGCTGGCTTCTCGGCGCAGTTCCTGGAGTACGAGCCGCTGTGCAAGGAGCGGCGCGTGCGCGTCGAGCTGCGCAACCTGGAGCGCGGCGTGGACTACTACCCGGCGCAGTACGACGAGGTGTACTGCGAAAGCGACGGCGACGACGGGGTCGTCACATCCGATAAGGTGACGTACAGCGTCTAGAAGAGCTTCGAAAACCACTAGCAGGCAGCGACGTTCCGAGCAATAACGGATACAATGACGAGAGAAGCCATTTGTTCGCTTCTTTAAGTTATAGTTTCACTTTATATGGAGGTGACAATTCTACTTCAATTCATATTATTATTATTATTATTATTATTATTATTATTATTATTATTATTGATATCAAATTTTTGCATATACCTCCACATAGCAGGTGCCAGAGAGTCCATTCACTCCACCCTGCACCTTTCGACAGGGACTCATAGCCTTACGTAATAAAACATTTTAGTTCCGTAAATATCCTCGATTTCTGATTTTCCTCTTTTTAAAATGACAGGTTGGGAAATTGATACACAACATTTGAAGAAGTTTGATTTCCAAGCCATCTGGAAATCTAAATGATTCAATAGTGGAAATAGTATTCATTACAGACGTGTTCAAATTATTTGACTAAAGAAATTTTTCGTAAAAGATTTGTATTTATTACACGTTTACACTCGTGTACATGTTACAGTCATACATTTAATACTTATTGTTAGAGTGCGTGCCTTTGTTCGTAATCAACAACTTTATCCTGTTTGGCATAATGTTTACCAACTTTTCACCCGAGTTTTGAATTTCATCGACGCTGTACCAAATCTCAAGTTTGTCCTTGACTTCTTGTATATTTCCTTATTCTTCTCTTCGTAATACCCCATAAATTATCTACGGGGTTCAAGTCAGAGCTATTCAGTGGCCATGGTAACATTTTAAATTGCTTTTCTTCCAAATTCTCGAAGACACTTTTGTCTTTGTGACACTGTGCTTTATCATGCATAAAATGCCATCTTCATTAGGGTACCACTCTAATTTGGGGGGAAAAGGTCCTTATCAAAGATTTTTGTATTGGTATTGCCTCTTTTTCCCTACGACAGTGTGCAATCTGCCAGGTCCTTTCACAGACATATTTGGAGAGAAACGTTGTTATGTATGATATCATCGAATTTAGCAAAGGCATTGTTTACTCTAATAATTTGATCACGTCTGTAATTGTATCATTACATAATAGCTTTCTTCTTGAATTACGTTTTATTTATTTTTTAGTAAAATAAGCAATTTTTTTTATTACATACTTTTCTGATACAATAGCCACTTTACAGACAGAATTGTTTGTTTGTGAAGGAGGGTGACCCCACTGGGCTCTTTAATGGAAAGAAAATCAGAGTGAGGAATAATAAGCAATATGTAAATATTTTAATGGATATGACTGCGCACGCCTGTGCATTTCGGTCTTTTAAATTGTAGTTAACTAATACAACGCAAAACAGTGTAGAATTCCGAGTAACAGTTGTGGTGTGATGATTGCCATATCCATTTGTTCTCAATACTTAACACAGATCATTCCGCGATGCAATGAATATCAAAGTTTCGGGACATCATAGGTTTCCTAAGAAAGTCCGTTCGTTCCTTTTAATATAAATTTGCCTAGGGCCCAATTTCTTTATTTATCATAAATGTGTTTTCATTCTTTCATATTCTTTATAAATTATTAACCCAATAGTTTCTACTATGTGGGAGGGAAATTATATCCTCATACAATGTTGACAGCGTTTATTGCTGTATTTGCTTCACAATTTAATTACATATAATAAAAGAGAATGGGCAGGGTGTCCAGAGGTTAAAAAATCTTGCGCAGATAGTGATTGGTAGTATGTGGTTTTACAGTAGATACACACACTTCTTCCAGTTTTCTTTACTTAAAAGAAACTGACTGTGTAGAACATGCTCCACCCAGAAAACAAGGGAGATAGTATAGAATTCCTTCCGAAAACGCCTTGTGTGTTGCAGTGCGCGCACCCTGGCTTCAAGTGCGTGCAACAGTACACGACGCTGTTCGTGATTCGACGCGACATCAAGAAAGACTGCTACCTGCAGAAGGCGACGCTGAAGGTGCCGTCGGGCTGCGAGTGCATGTGGCCAGCGCGGCAGTTGGGAGGCGCCAGCGACCACTACTGACGCCCCCGCCCCCTCGTCCCCCCCGCCCCCTCGACGCTCTGCGCATCTGCGCACGCGCGCTGCGCTCCGCTGCTAATAAACACGTGCTGACTCCACGCAACTGTGTATTATTTTCGCTTCAGGTTTGCCCCCCCCGGTCCTGTGTGCAGGCTTCAGCCTGGTGTAGTAGGAGATAATCCTTTCCATGTGATTTTAGGCATCGGTGATGTGCGCTCACAGTGAAGAGGTACCGTGTCCAAAATCTTGGATCTGAGAAGAACTTCCATTTGTTTACTCATAAACTAGTATACATTGAGTGTAGTATACTAGGAAGTATAAAGACTCTTGCGTAATGCTCCGAAAATATGATGATCATGAAACGGATATCTCCATTTTAGGGTGGTCTTCGTGAAGTCCCTAGAATATGTTCGAAATTTTCCACCGACAGAGTTGAGCTCAGAGACAGTATTTCCGCCGTCTCTGCGGCTACTCTGCCCGGGAGAACCTAGGGTTTGAGTTCCGACAGGAGAGGATTTTCGACGCTAGCTAGATAGCTTGGTGTCAATGTGCCCTAACAAACAAACCTCGAACCATCCGCGATCTTCCCTTCCTCGACCTTGACCTATCCTCTCCCCTTACACACACACACACACATTACTACACATATCACAAATCCAGTGGAGCTTAGAAATTGTCCAGGATGAGGAGATACGTGGAGGAAGAATTCCTCCACAAACGGGTGCTCGATTTTAGCGACGGGAAGAAACCGGAACTACAAAGATAAAACATTCATTGCACCAACAGAACCAATAACCACAGCAGTTACGCTTGCCAGGAAACTCAATCTACCAATTGAAACTTTCTCCAAAATGAACCAACACTTTTCTTTAAACTTCTTAACTTGGAACCAAAAGGGCTCATGTACATGATTAGGTCACTTTATGTTAAAATCCTCAACTTTGAAAAAAGCTAAAATTTAATTTCTGGAACCCTACATATTCACCGTTAACGATAGGGAATTTTCTTAATGCAACCTCCTTAATATTAAAATAAAGCAGTGGTGCTACATATTGGCACAGACTTTCTCGCACTAATCAGTTTTCTTTGGTCTGAGATAGCTTTCCGGACTTGCCACATTCTCCTGCGAGATGACATCTATCGCCGCCGAAAATACATTACAAAACTACTAAAAGTTTCAAAAAAATTTGCATGATCTTAATGAAAGAATGAAGTATGGATAAGAAATTTCATTTGAAGGAAAAAAACTCTCATCTCGAATTTTTACTTCCTCGTATACGTTGGATCGGGAAAGTTATGTAATGCTGCGAAAAATCTATTTTGAGATTTCCAAGGAAATACACGTTTTGGAGCCCCCAGATACCGAAAAAGTGTTGTTGTTTTTTTTCATATCGTCTGTCTATCCATCTGTCTGTCCGTCCGTCTGGTGTGTGTGTGTGTGTGTATGTGTGTGTGAACACTACTAGATCCTGACCCAAGCATAGGATTGTTTCCAAATTTAAAAAACCCCTGTCCATCTGGCTCGAGTCGAAACTTTGAGATTTTGAAAAACATTTTTCAAAATTTGGGGATACTTTACATGATGCCCACCGGACATTTTCAAACTTTTCTCAAAAACTGCTCCAATTTTTTTTTTGTAAAATTAGAGTAATATAAATTTATAATCGTGGCATAGATCTGATTTTCATGGTTAACTCAGAATTTTCGAAAATTTCAAAAGATATTTTTTTTAGGTATCTTCATCCAACTGCAAAATTAAAGATAGAGATTTTTTTCTTTAAATACAACTTGTTCTCCATAGTCAGTTCTTTTATTAAGGCCATGTACATTTCAAAATTTTAATAGTCTTCGCGCAATATTGTGTGCAATATGTGCAATTTAAAAAAATACAAAAACAAGATTTTCTCAGAAACGGATCCAAATTTTATCTTTAAACGTTTGGTAAAGATAGTACTAAATCACTCTATGAAATGACATGAACGCAATATTGCTCTATTCTTTCGCTTTTTTCAAAAATTACAAAAACTTTTTTATTTGTCCCTCGTGTTATTAATATTTATACTAGCGGCAATTTGTTCTCATTATTGTATTTATGTTCTTTAAATAACGTCATAAAGCTTCTCGAAAACCCAACCGTTTTCAGTGAAAATTTCTTAATTCCGCATTATAGGAAATGCTCAAACGCTATTTTCTCAAAAACTGCTCCAAATTTTTCCTTCAAACATTTCGAACCGATAGTGCTAATTTCACGTAAAGTTCACATCGGTATTTTGTTGTTTTTTTTAAATTATACAAATGTAAAGTTTTTGAAAAATGTCTCACGCCATTGATATGCCCATTTACAGCAATTTGTAAACAGTATTGTATTTGTGAGTTAAAGTACTTAAAATGACTTCAAATTAAGTTTTTCGAATTCTCAAAAATTTTCTGGGAAAAGAGTTTTAAATTTCAAATTTACAGTAACCCTAAACGCCATTTTCATTGAAAATGGCTCGAACGTTTACAAAGAAAATTGCCATTTGGGACGAGGTTTTACTTTTCTTTAATATTTTTAAAGTAATAATTCGATTTTACTATTGGGAAGCCGAAAAATTAAGAAACTGTCAAAAAAATGTACTTTGGGCGGCGATAGATGGCAACCGGTAAGAGTACGTGGCAAAGCCGCATAGCTAGCCGACACCAAAGAAAATAGAAAATTAATGCAGGAAAGTCTGTGGCATTCTATAGCACCACTAGTGTTGTTGTAGGAAGACGCAAAAAAATTAAACTCTAATAATTTTCGTAAATTCAGAGTTAACCCTGAGATTCGGACTTGCACTATATTTGTAAGTGTATTTTACTCTACTCTTACAAGAAATTTAAGGAAAAACTGTAAAGTCGTTGTTGCCAAACATCTTAAAATGTCCCTGGGGCTTCGTGTAAAGTACCCCCAAATTTTAAAGAATGTTTTTCAAAATCGCAAAGCTTCGACTCGAACCAGATGGACACAGATTTCTTCAATTTCCTACGCATGGTTTAGGCGCTAATAGTGTTCACAGACAGACGGACGGACATACACACGGACGGACGTTTTGAAATACAAAACAACACTTTTTCGTTATCAGGGGAGCCCAAAACCGTTGTATTACCGTTGAAATCTCGAAACCGATTTTCCGCAGCATTACATAAATTTCTCTACACTATGTATATTACTCCGTATACTTGTATATACGTATTACGTACACGAGAAAGTAACTAATGGTGCTACAGAAATGACACAGACTTTCTCGTTGTAGTTTTCTATTGCCTGGGATAGTTATTTCTTTAGTATGGGATAGCTATTCTGACTTTCCACATACTCTTGCTGGCTGACATCTCCCAAAGTCCTTTTTATCAAAATGTTTTCAATTTTCGGTTTTCGAATACTAGTAATGTTATCTTAAACAGTGCAATTAGAATTACCCTCACGAAAAGTTTGCAGAAAAAAACTGGAGCCCTTTTGAGACTATGGCGTTTGAGCATTTCGGCAAGTTGCGGAAATTTGAGCTCGTTTTCACAGAAAACTTTTGAGTTTTTGAGAAACTGTTTAAGACATAATTTAAAGTACATGTACATGTAAATGTAGTAATGTAAAAGAATCACCGCTACTGTAAATATTTACGACATGAGAAGCTAGGCAAAAAATTGCATTTTCGTAATGTTTGAAAAAAACAAAAGAATAGAGCAATATGGTGTTTACGTCATCTTACATGATACACTAAGCACTAACCCTACCAAAAGTTTAAAGAAACTAGTGAAGCTTCCAAAGCACAGACTTTCTCCCATTGTTTCTAAATGCTCCGCAAATTTATACTACTATATCAACTAGCAAGTGTTTTCAAGCAGCAAATGATTTTCCTTCACCAAGACTCGAACACAGATCCTCGCAGTTAACGTGCCGGCCTTCATTCCACTAGGCCACAGAATCGCCACAGGGTTTGAACTCGGGCAAAGGCATAAAAAGGTAAATGCCTGATTCATGTAAAAAAAAGCTAACAATCAAAATCAAACCAAGCCCCCAGTCCGTTCAAATCAATGAGGGAATATCAATTTTTGAAGAAAATCAGCTGAACGGTTTAGGCCCTATCGTTGACCTCAGACGGGCGTTTTGCCGTCAAACGATTTTTCTGTAACAAAAAACAAAAAAAACATGGATTCTGGCTACATCACGAGTTAGAGGTTTTTTTTTCTAAATTTAGCAACAGGATTTATCCACTTCTTCTTTTCCAGAAGCCGGCAATAAGGTTTTATTTTGCTAAATTTTTGGCTTTTCTTGGCTCACGATTACATAACTTTCTCTTCTTTCGAAAAATTCGTAAGGAAAAATAGAATTAATTTCGGAATCATTAGCGATATCTAAGTTGGTCTCAAGGGAATTGATTACATTCTATTTAAATTTAATAATGATATACTCATTATTTTACTTAAATTGGCTCTTTCACAGGCATAGATAGACGAACAATTGATTTGATGGTACATGCATTTTACGAATCGAATAAGAAATGTAAAAATTGTGATAAGTTGAAAATTCCAAAATCACATACATACACTTCCAGTTTATTTATCTTAATTAATTTTGTTTGTGATTAGAATTGATTAAAATGGTTTTCAAAAAAGCTTCTGGAATTCTCAATTATTTTCTGCGGCAACAGAGAATTGTGACTAATAATATTCACCGTCAATGACTCGAACCAGCGAACTTCCCCTCCGAAGGGCTTTGTCCGGACCCGCCAATTTGACACCACGGCCGCCAGAGTAGAACATGAGATACACAACTACTTAATAGTAATACGTATATAGCGGTTTCAGTTCTAGCATTAGGAAGCCTAACAAGTGAATAAATTTGAAAAAAAATGTCCTTTGGGCGACCAAAGAAAGTATCTGGGAAAATAATGACGAAAACCAAAAACTTAGTTCAGTCTACAGAAATTAGAAAAGTTACTACTGCGAGAAAGTCAGTGCTATTCTACAGCACTACAAGTTTTATTTACTTATTTATTTTCTTATTTATTTACTTATTTACTTGAAAAACTTTCTATGTATAAGGTTGCTTATATAATAATATTATT